CTGGGTTTCGAATCTGTCCAAGGTTCCTTCTGCCACAAACTACCTACCCTCCAAGATCCAGAAACATCCTGCGCTGCCTCCAGTGAAACTGAGTTTGTTCTCTGAGTTTTACTGCAGATGGAAAGGGTGTTCACTGTTGCACTGTTTGCAAGAGTGACACATATCTGAATGCCCCTAGGCAGAAGAATGATTAAATAAATTACAGGTCATTCATTCTGGAAACACTATACAGTAGTTAAGAAGAATGTGGTAGATCTGCATATACCACGGGACAGGACATGTGGTTAGATGAAAAAAGCAAATTGCTGGGGCAGCATGTAATATGATTACATGTTTGTAAAAACTGTAAATTAAAATAAAATCATAAACACACACACATATATAGAGAAAAGGTCAAGGAGGCTATTTTGAGGGGCATGAAATAGCTTTTTAATGAAAACAACAACGAAGGTTAACAAAGTTCAGAAAGTCTGGGATAAAAGGGGGGATGGCTTACAGCTTCCCCCCCCCACATTGTCTCCTGTTGCTACCCCATTTCTCTTCTGTCTCTTGTCCAACAAAGGAATAATAATGTTCCTCTCTGCCTTCCCTTCTCAGGCTTGGAAGTACTCTAGGGCCGCTGGCTTTTCTTTCAGGTGGGAGGTCTGGGGCTCAGGTCCACACAAAGGTTCCACCCAAATCCTAACCAATAGCAAATGAACTTCAAGATCTATTTTGCTCATTCACCCTCCTCTCCTGTTTTTGTTAACCCAGATACAGGTCGGTTTCTTTGTGTCCCTTGTTCCCCTAAATCTCTTATCACTAAGGCATCAGATCCTTTGCCACCTGAGTCTGCCAACCTACTTATTTGCTCTAGAGCTGGCCCAACACAGGGTGGCTCCCGCAATCCTCCTTCCCACGGGAACCCGCCCTGGAATTCTGCTTCTTTCTCTTTCATGTGGCCGGCCAGTGGGGTGGAGTGGCACTTTAAGAGCAGTATACCATGACGGAAAGAACACAGGCTCTGGAGTAAACCAGACGTGGCACAAAATCCCGCTTCTGCCATTATTAGCCACATGACCTTGGGAGAATTTCTTAACCTCCGAAAATTTCTTAACTTCCCTGAACCTCAGTTTTTGCTTCTGTAAAATGAGACTAAAACCTGCTCATAGGGTTGTGGTAAAAAAATAAGTGAGATGAAAAATACCCAGTGTCCAATCCAGAGGAAAAGCTAGGCAGTAGCTAGAATGATTAGGTGGAAAGGGCTGGGCTTTACTTGTGGGTAGGCAGAGTCCCCAATAGCGGGTTCTACTCCATCCTACTTCCAACGGGGTGACTTATGCACTAGGCACAGCAGGCACTGTGCCTAGGCTTCATGGTACTTCTAGGGGCCCATGAAAATGGTTTTGAATGACTTTAATAGTAATGATTTTAATTTCTTTTAAAATTACAGGAAAAAACTGAACATTTAGGTCAAGGAAATTGCAGTATTGTTATTATCAATTATTATTAATTATACGTGCAACTTTAATATTATTATATTTTTCCTTACACCAGCACAGTTGTAAAATATAATTTTTAATATATATATCTTTTTTGTTTATTTGATAACCTCACCCGAGGCTATTTTTCCATTGATTTTTAGAGAGAGTGGAAGGGAGAGGGAGAGACAGAGAGAGAGAAACATCTCTGTGAGAGAAAGGCATCGATTGGTTGCCTCCTGCACAGGCCCTGACCAGGGCCAGGGATCGAGCATGCAACCCAGGTATGTGCTGGAATCGAACCCAGGACCCTTCAGTCCAGGGGCCAACACTCTAATAATATATATCTTTTTTTTTTTTAAAGATGATAACCTTCTTCTTCTTTTTAAAAAAAATATATTTTTATTGATTTCAGAGAGGAAGGGAGAGGGAGAGAGAGATAGAAACATCAATGATGAGAGAGGATCATCAATTGGCTGCCTCCTGCACACCCCCTACTGGGGATCGAGTCTGCAACCCAGGCACGTGCCCCTGACTGGAATAAAATCTGGGACCCTGCCCTAACCGGTTTGGCTCAGTGGATGGAGCGTCGGCCTGCGGACTGAAGGGTCCCAGGTTCGATTCCGGTCAAGGGCATGTGCCTTGGTTGCGGGCACATCCCCAGTGGGGAGTGTGCAGGAGGCGGCTGATCGATGTTTCTCTCTCATCGATATTTCTAGCTCTCTGTCCCTCTCCCTTCCTCTCTGTAGAAAAATCAATAAAATATATTTTTTTAAAAATCTGGGACCCTTCAGTCCTCAGGCCATATCCACTGAGCCAAATCCGCTATATATATCTTTTTTAATGGAGGAATGAGCCCACAAAGGCAAAGTGCCAAGAGCCCATGAAAGTAATAATGTGGCCCTCACTTTCTTCTTTTTAAAAAAAATATATTTTTATTGATTTCAGAGAGGAAGGGAGAGAGGGAGGGATAGAAACATCAATGATGAGAGAGAATCATTGATTGGCTGCTTCCTACTGGGGATTAAACTCACAACCCAGGCATGTGCCCTTGACTGGAATCGAACCCGGACCCTTCACTCCTCAGGCTGACGCTCTATCCACTGAGCCAAACCAGCTGGGGCTGTGGCCCTCACTTTCAGCACTCCAAGAGGTTAGTTCCTTCAGGAGATCTTTATAGACGGACTAGGGGAAAGGATGGGAGGGACGGAGGTGGGAGATGGGGAAGAGACAGACAAGACCCGCAATGATCTCACTGTTTGTGATTTCTCCCGTACTGTCTCTGAACTTGATCTTTGCTTGGACCCAGTGGGTAGGGGACTGCATAATACGTCCTAAAATAGCACATCACTAGTTGATGTCACTAGTTGGGTCAGGAATGTAAATATACAACTCAACAAGAACAACAAAACAACCAATTAAAAAATGGGCAAGGGGCTTGACTAGACATTTCTCCAAAGAAGATATACAGCTCAACATCACGAATGACAGGGAAATGTAATCAGAGCCACAATGAGATACCACTCCGCACCCATTAAAATAGCTACTATATAAAAAGATAAAGTAATGAGAATGTAGAGCAATTGGAACTCTTGGGCACTGCTGGTGGGAATGTAAAATGGTGCGGCCACTGTGAAGAACAGTTTGGCAGCTTGGCCAGCGTGGCTCAGTGGTTAAGCACTGACCTATGAACCAGGAGGTCATGGTTTGATTCCGGGCCAGGGCACATGCCCAGGTTGTGGGCTTGATCCCCAGTGTGGGGCATGCAGGAGGCAGATCAATGATTTTTCTAATCATTGATGTTTCTCTCTCCCTCTTCCTTCCTCTCTGAAATCAATAAAAATATATTTTAAAAAAGAAAAAGAGTATGGCAGTTCTTCAAAAAAATTAAACATAGAATTACTACATGATTCAACAATTCCACTTTTGGGTATATATACCCCCAAAAATTGAAAGCAGGGACTCAGAGAGATATTTGTACACCCATATTCATAGCACCGTTATTCACAATAGCCAAAAGATAGAAACAACAGAAGTATCTATCAGTAGATGAATGGATAAACAAAATGATATAAATAATATAATTCAGCCTTTAAAAAAGGAAAGAAATTCTGACACATACTATAACATGGATGAAACCTGGATATGTTATGCTAAGCGAAATAAATCAGACACAAAAGGACAAATGTTATATGATTCCACTTATATAAGGTACTTAGTCAAATTTATACAGATAGGAAGTATAATGGTGGTGGTTACCACAAGGGCTGGGGGGAGAGGGAATGGGGAGCTACTGTTTAATGAATACAGAGTTTAGGAATATGGAAAAGTTCTGGAGATGGATGGTAGGGATGGTTGCACAGCACTGTGAATGTTAATAATATTACTACACTGTCCACCAAAAAATGGTAACACGTATTGTGTGTAATTTATCACAAATTTAAAAAGAAAGAGAAAAGGAATGTAAATGCCTCCCCTTTTACCCAAGTGCTAATCGCTCAGCTAGCTGCCGAAGCATCATGTCGATTCCCTATGGAGGTCCTCTGCCCTCTCTTTCTCTCTTTTAGAACACCCTTCAGGGAAATGCAGTTTCACACATGGTACTCCCTCCATCGGAATACTGTCTATACCCCACTCTGCCATATCCATTCTTCAAGGGTAAGGGCTCCGCCTCTTCCCCACTCACGAAGACTTTGCTAACCAATCTAAACTTCTACCCATTTCTCCCACCAGACAACTAACAGTCTGAATTGTGTGCATCACCCACCACTGAGGACATAGTTTTAGCTTTCTTTGGGGTTCTCATGCACCTGTTTCCACATCAGTAAAACAGAGAATGCCTGTCCTATCGATAAATGAAACTGTGTATATGAAAACAAAGGTGTTTCCAACCAAGTCTTTACTCCTCCCTTAACCTAACTAGCACATAATGAAAGTAATCAATGAATATATGATCTCACAAGCAGCTCAGCTTGGTGGGAATCCATTCTCCAAGTGATGAGAGCATAACTCCAGGAACAATGGGTTTTTGATACTGGAGTGTGTCACCAGAGGAGTGGAATTAGAAAGATGCAGAATTCCTTTCCAGGAAGAGGTGGGTTTCTAACAAACACCTAATAATAATCATTATCATCATCATCATCATCAATGTTATTGAGAGCTTATTAGATCGGAGACACTGCACTAGGTGTTTTATATAGGTTGTCTTATTGAACCCTCACAAATAACCCCAAAAGATAGGTATTATTTCCCCCATTTTACAAATAAGGAAACTGGAGCTTAGAGGTTAGAGAACTCGCTCAGTGTCACAGAGCTTTAAGTGGTAGTGCCAGGAACTGGCCCAGCCCAGGAGACTTAGATGCAAATGGCACTAAAGTGCACCCTAGTTGCCTTCTGCTTCCTCCCAGGAGCTTTCAGGGCTGAGGCAGCCAGAGGTCCTCTCCTCCGGCCTGAGGCCTCAGGGCATTCAAAGACTGGGCTGGGGTGAGGATGTCGAGAAAGTGTCTACCGTTCCAACAACGGGAAAAGGCCTTCACCTACCTCCTGGAGAAGGCGTGGTTGGGAGGCTAGTCATTGCCGCAAGCGGATGGGCACCTTGAGGACCTGGAGAAGGTGTGACTGGGAGGCTAGTCATTGCTGCACGTGGTGGCCACCTCGAGGAAGGAGCAGATCTGTAGGAAGAGGGGGAAAGACAGGAATGAGGTGGGGGGCTGGAGACAACTGGAAATGCAGAAAAGCCGTTGGTGCCAGATTCTCCTGGCCCCTTCCGAATCCCCGCTTCCCTGTGGAGCTGGTCCTAAACCCTTGTTTGGTTTCCCTGGTATCTCCTCGGGCTGCAGTTATCAAGAGCAGATCCGCGAGACCACCTGTATTGGGGGTGCATCATCTTTCCCGGGGTCACATTTACCCGGAAGATTTCTCCCTGGCCGAGAAAGTTGGGCACAGGTATGCCCATGAGCCGCGGCACCGGCTTTCGCCAGTCTCGGCAGCAGGTACCCAGTTCTCTCACCCCGGGAGTTTGGGCGGAGCCACCCTCCCGGTGTCGGGGTTGGGGGTGCGCAGCACCTGCACCTGGCTCGGGGGTGTCCTGGGGGCGGTGGTGGAGGGTGAGCCAGGCAAAGGAACGGGGAGGTGAGGGTCGCCTCTTGGCCTGAAACAACCGGTCCACCGGGCTTGGCCCGCTCCCCGCAGTCCTCCCGGCACCGTCCACCGGCGCCGTCCGCGCACAGTCTACCGAGCTCCGCTGGCCGGCCACGAGGGCCGAACCGCAGCCTCGGACGCCGGGGGACCCCGACCCGTCCGCGGCGCCTG